CGCTGATTTCCCCCTCATAGGTCTACGGCCCCTACTTCTCTCCCTAGAGTCGCAAGTGGAACCAGTTTTCCGGTCCTCTGACTTATCTCGCCACTCGGAGTCCGAGAGCTTACGTCGGTGAGCAGGGGGCGAGCGAGAATCTCTCCGCCCTTCACGGTCCCGCTCTGAGGAAACGGACCTCACAGCACGTGGACGACGAACCACTGCACGGCGGCTTAACTGGTAAGTTTTTACTCTTTTTATTGCCTCCGCCAGAGTACATGGGGGATTGTTGATCAACTGTTGACCCGCCTCACCATCACTGCAGCCAAGAGCAAATCTAACAATGAGCTGCCCCTGGAATATTTCTGGCTAAGTTCCGCCACCAAAGGCCTTCTTGGCAGTGTCCATGACTCTATCTGCCCACTGTTCCATTGTTTCTTCTGGCTTTTGGGCTATCGAGCTGAATTCCAGCTGTGAGGCTGCCCTTAAGGAACTTTTCCCAAACCTCTCCTAAATCCGGAAGACAACTTCTCAGAAACTTAACAGGGCCCCCCTGCGACGCAGGATATCGAAGTACTTGCGCGCTCCCCCTCCAATATCAAACTTAGGGCAAACAGTAGATCGGGGTCACCCCACTGATGGTATTCAGTGATAGTAGAGAACTTTGAATAAAATGGTTCCCACTCTACAACCCCATTGTACTTCATCCACTTTATTTCAGCTGAAATATTCCTGCTCACGCTACTCCGAGTACCAGGAGGAATTGAACTCGGAAATTGGGATGTATCCGCAGTAGTCATTATAGTGTGACCTTGAGGTACCCAAGACCAACCCCATATTCCAGGTACAAATGACTGTCCTCCCCCTAGTGCCGCCGACTGCCCAACCAACCCACCATAGTAGCCAGAGCCCTGACTACCCAAGTTAGGTGCACTAGAATACACAGATGCAGTGGGTGCTGTAACTGGCATGCCCATACCCCCAGCAACATGACCCGGGACGGGTGGGCCCATGCTGGGATGTATAGGATACCCCCCCCCCCCCCCCCACTCATTGTGTCCCCTGATAAGAACGAGCCAAATGTAATAGTACTCGGTTAAGCCGAGCCAAGACTACTGTAGCCTTTTGAAGAAAGTGGCTGACCTTGAGATGCGGAAACAGACATGACCTTGGAATTATGGATAGAAACGGGTCCGGGGCTCGACAAACTAGCTACGGGCTGCTCAACGGGAAGGCACTGCTCTGGCAATGAGCTAGGAATCCAGGGACACCCCTGGCTACTAGTCATTACAGACGAACTGCCTGTGGTTTAGTTACTGACTGCGGTTTATCAGATTTCATCATTCCCGCAAGCATTTGAGTTATTTCGCTTAACTTAGTCCCCATATTTGATTCCATAGAACCCATTTGAGACGTCACGTCGGTTTTCAGGGTACCCATCTGAGAAGTAACATTGGCTTCTAATGAGCCTATATCGCCCCGCAGAGCTCCTACATCCCGACCAAGGCTATCTACTCTGCTATTAACCGCACCAAGGTCACCCTGAACTTGTGTAATATTTCCTTGAATTTGACCCATTTCCCTTTGAATTCGGTCAACAAAACTGCTAGAAACCGGGAGTCTCCAAAGACCCATCAGAATCAGCCCCCCGTGTAAGCGACATGTCTCCGCCCCCATACCGGGTGACATTATCCGGAGCACCCTCCCCCTGGGGCATCGGTGTGCTACACACCCGGAGCAAACCTCGCGCTTCCGGAAGGCGGGACTTCCCGCGGACTGCGCCCTCCCGGGGTACTCCCCAGACCCTCTTGGTCATTTCCCCCAACACGAGCGTCCCAGTCCCCACTAGGCCTCAAAGTCCCCCTTCCCAAACCAAAGGAACTGAAATCACGGTCCTTCTCGCCCGACACCCTCAAAACGGCACAAATATAAATTTACATAAGGCGGTAAATCCGCTATAACAAGAGACGCAAGTATAAACGTATATACAAAATAAATTAAAACAAATACTGCTGCCTTACATCTCGGAAAATATCCAAGATGGCGACGGGCACTTACACGTGCGGGCCAGGTATTACCCCGCAGTTTAACTAAGATACCCTGGGACGCCGCGCCAATATAGCGTTTCTCTACTATATACAAATTACTTATTACCTAAGTACAGTGATGGCGGAACAGAGAAAACACTATGGTAATATAATCCGCGATTTATTGGTGCCCGCTATATACTAATAAAAACTACAAATACAATAATGACGGAGCTGACAGAGCTGCAGCAGATAACAGAAAAAAAAGAGCGAGGATAGGTACACGTCACGGCAGGTGCGTGTCGTGTACCACGTGGTCGAAGGTAGCAGGGCAATCCGTGCCCAGCACCTCCGAGACCACTATAGGACGAAATGGACAGAAGAATTAGACAAGTTCTTCAGCCGCAGAATCTGGAGAACCTTGAACGTGATTTAGTTAAAACCTAGAATAACCTTCCGTGGACAAAGTTTTTTTTTTTAACACAATTTTGTATAGAGCGCTCGCTCCGTGATCGGGAGGTCGTGAGTTCGAATCTCGGCCGCGACAGACCTAAGTCGATAAAAAATAGGTAGCAACTGTTCCATGCGCTCGGCACTTTGAAGTGAAAGTTGCGGGTCCTTCGGATGAGACCTTAAAAACCGAGGCCCCGTGTCACGGCAGGCGTTGGCACGATAAAGATCCCTCACTGCTCAATGGCCCTGAGTGCCGAGTAAAGGTCAAAATTTGAAGCCCTTCACCGGTATATGGTGACGTCTCTGTATGAGTGAAAAATTCTCGAATGGGACGTAAAACAATATACAATACAATACACAATTTTGTGCATTATACGAGGAATGGGTATCAAGTAGTTATCCGTGGTAATGGGGTACACACGCGTTATTAATTGAAAATTTTATTTTGTATCGTACTGGGATGTTCTGTGTTTTTTGATTCAATGATTCTATATCAGATAATTAAAGATAATTTGTTTACTAAGTAAGAGGTTATTCTTTATTTCAGACAAAACTCGAATCAAATTTAATAAATGAAAAAGAAATTGTGCGTGACGAAAACACAGGTGGGGAGTTTGTTTTTTTGACTAGTATATGTTGTACTATTGTGTGTGAAAGAAATGTTTAACAATCAAACCACTTAATTGTTTACTTTCTCGGTGTTCTCATATGATTATTAGACAAAGTTAGCTGTGTTACGTAATTGTTTTTTTTTCATCTTGGTACTTTTGTTATTTAATAACCTCTAAACAAATGCTGTGTGTTAACTTATTTTTCCTAAATTGTTTAAACTTATTTTTCTTATGGTATTAAGTTTTGTAAATTTATATTTTGCATTATTTATTGTGTAAAATGATATTATTTAAACATGTAGAATTTCTATAAAATTTGTAATACATGGAGATTATTTTTCTCGTGCTGTGCCATTTTTTGTGCAGAAAGCAGACAAGATGTCATCAGGGTTTATCATCTGATGGTGGGTATTTGCAGCTATTTGTTTGTAAGTATTTACTCAGGAACAAGATGACATAACATGTGCTTAATGTGCTTTATTTATTTATGAAGAATAGAGAGTGTTAGAAATCGGTTAATTATCGGGAAAATTGTTTTGCACAATAATCTAGAGTTATGCAAATCCTATCTTTAAGATATTTTTAAAATGAATATGCAGAAAATGATTTTTATTCAGATTGTCAATTTATTAATAACAACGTTGAATATATGTTTTTAAAATTGTTATTCGTGTACGACAACTACTACGAATAGAGATATTGTTGTTAAGATACATGTACAGTCGTCACTTAATGGCGCTGTGAGTCTAGCTGTCTGTCTGTCAGTCACTGTGTTACTACAAACCAGTATTTCCCTACCTGAGATAGGTATATAGTAGTCTGAGGTCATGCATTACATAAATAAATATTTTAGTTTTTGTTTACTATATATAACATGAAAATGATTTACCTGCCATGAATCTACACTGTGTGTGCGCCTATTTGCATTATCATATATAAATTATATTTTTATTAAAAAGGTTAATGAATTTGGATAAAGTAACACGTACCAAAGGTTATATTTTATTTATATATTAACAGAGTGAATTAATTTAGTGTTGCATATGTCCAACAAATATGGTATGAAAAAGTTTATAAAAATATGAAACAATATGTTAAACATTTGTAAATGTGTTTTATATATATATATATATATATATATATATATATATATATATATATATATATATATATATATGTGTGTGTGTGTGTGTGTGTGTGTGGATAAACAGTAAATAAAGTTGACATCAATATCAAGTCGAATTCTTACACAAAGCAACTTTCGTATATCATACTGCATATGGATTGGGGGAAATTGTACTTTACAAGAGAACTTTTACAGCAAAAACTAGGTTTTGAAAAAAAAAAATTATCCTTCAGAATCCCCTGTTTACAAATAATGGACCTTAAGTCCTTCATTTTATTGATCAACTTTAGAAATACCGAATGGAGAAGCTTACTTCAGTACTGCACAGGATATCGTTAAACAAGACATTATCGTTGTTTCCAAAAGAGAAAGATCGGGAAATATAACTATGACGTCACACGAAAGCTAGATATTTCTGCTACCAACCACCCAAATAATCTTTGTTTCCTATTTCACAAAATACCACAGTATGCGCTGAGTATGACCTGTTTTACATAATAATACTTTTAATCAAGTGACTACTTGATCTTGTTGCACTAGCAGATCATGTATGACGTCTTTTACATGGTAGACTCGCAGTATAGAGAAATATAGGATTGGATCAATGTAATTTGTAATTTCTTAATACATTAACATGTACGTTGAAACTTTAAAATACCTTTATAAGATACTGAAGTAAAAATTTACACACGTTCTCTTTTGCGTCTACATATTGAGTCATGTGGCCGCGTGTCCTTCTACTCTTTACACATATATTTAAAAAAAAATCTTGTTTTATTAATACCGATTCTTGAGGCGTTTTCAGCAAATACTTGTTAATAAAGCATTTGCAGCATAACCATGCCCATCATGCCTACGCTGTCCATAGATAAGCATTCCAAAAAACGAACCGTCTGTTGTTTCCACTTGAATCACGCCGCTTGGTACATTTACAGTCATAACGCTAAATAGGAATGTTCCTACAAATATCGTGGAATGGAAGACCTTGGTGTATTCATAGATGTTAGTGCTATTAATTTGGAGGTTAGATAGTGATTCATTCCTGACTATGAAAGCAGCAAAACTAAAATTGTATCCTTCTGGCACATCAACAATGTATTGGTTGAGGTACTGGTTGATACCTGGCACTGTATTCATGTATGGATCACCGTACATTTTAGGATTTGTTGAACCAGTGGCAAAAACATTAACTAATACGGGTTTAGCAGATTGTATGAGGCTTATTTCATTTTCAGGAGTGATGAAATCCGTATATCGATTTTTTAACAGAGTAGTAGTAGTTTCGATTCCATCTAAAGTATATGTAACTTTTGTGTGAAAGGCTGAAATAATCCTTACAATTGATTGGTATCTATTAATATTTGGTGGTACGATAAATATATTATCGAATTCGTTAACTGGCGGGATCATTTCCATCAGCATGCTGCATGCCCCGTGATACCCTATATTATTGCATCTGTTTCCTGCAAATACGGCGACGGGTTGAGAAGAATTTATCGTTGTTCCTGACAAATCTGCTTTGTGTCCGATTTGAAAGGTTTGAAAATTATTTAATATTACCGAAAAAGTATCACCTCTGCCATACTCTTTATCATGAAGAGAAATGGTGGTGTTGTGATCTATTGCAAAAACTATACTGACATGCGTATTGTCTTTAGTTGCAGCTATCGTAAAATGACTTCCGCTGTCCAAAAAACCCCTTGTAGGTTGTGCTGTTGAAATAATGTAGTATCTCGATAGTTTGTCTATAGGGAAGACTATGGTACTGTCTGATGTGTATTCACCATCGTCTACCATTACCACAGACGACAACGCTGAGGTGGTGATACGGATAGCCTTAGATTCTATCACAGAATAAGCAGGGATCATCGAATAATGAACACTTATCTTTTTTAATGTCACATTTCCAGCTCTGTACGTACTTATGGCCAATAAATTTGAATCTCGACTATCTGAAGGTGTGATCATCATGTTGAAATCATGTTCCGATGACACAAATATCTTTCTATTGGTTTCATTTACTTCGATGTGATTCTTGATAAAGCTTACAATAAAACTGCGCCCTCTGCTACCTGTTTTAAAAATAATATTTTTTTAAATGATTGATACCTTTACATGAAGAACTATCCAAGGCCTTTAAAAATAATATTATCTACTCACCCAGAAGTGTGTTATTTTTACTCCGTAAGTTTGATTTTTGGTCCAGGCAAAGCTTATCCTTGATCAATGACTGTAATGTTTCTTTTTCCGATGAACCTTCAAAACCTTTAAATCATATCAAATATCAATATTCCTATAAAAATGAGATAGTTAAAAAAAATCAATTTTCCCCCGATATTTTCTGAAACTGGGATAAATAAAACAAAAACAATTTTTATAATCTTCTCATTAAATTTACTTAAAGCGAAATGCCTATAATTTCCCTTATCCGGTTCAATTTGTATTCACGTTTAAGAAAAGGATTTGAAAATATACGTTCAAAGGAAGAAATTTCTAGAGAAAGAATGTTATACCGTCATTTTTATTCTTTTCCTGAAGAAATAATAAAGTCATCGTTACAAAGCCGACGATGAACGCGAAAAAGACTAAGACACAAGCTGTTTTAACACATATCTTCGATGATTTTTGTTGTATTTCTTGTCTGTCTCCTTCTGATTCCTTTGCAGGTGCTTTAAAATTGTTTGGCTTCATGAAAATGAAAAAGTAGACATTTGTGATTTAAAAAAAAACAGTATCACAAAGCTAACTCTCATCAAATCCCTGAACAAGTTTCGAATGTACGAAATGAAATTATAAAATAATTAAATCTTAAATAAAAAATCTCAGGAAAATCAATAAGGAAATTTATGAATAAATAAAGCAGGTGGTTACTCATACCGAAACGTATCCATCGACGTTTTCATTTTCCTAAAATCGAAATAAATCCATACTTTATCATTCAAGTTATTTTTAGCAAGTGACATAAGACATATCTTTTTGCATAATGATAAAAAAAATTACAATTTCTTAAACCTCCAATGACTTTGTTGTGTTGGGAAGAAAAACAACGATTATCTTGCTTCTGCTTATAAAATCAGTTTGTTATAGAATTGGAGCAAACTTGTAAAATACAGTAAACATGTACAGGAACGTACACTACGTATTCTAATATAAATTAATGATGAGGGTTTCTGTAAGTTAATTCTTTAGAAAGGTTATGTTGTGAACGCTTGACATTTATAGGGGACTAAAAGATGAGAGTTTTTCTGTTTTGCTTTCTTTCATAAAACAAAGGTTTCTGATTCAGAAGTTAAATCTTAAATAGGCTATGGACAGCTACATGTAAGTTGATGTTACAGGACAGGGATTTCAACAAATTCGTTTAAGGTCAGCATTTTTTAGGTCATTGTTTTGTACTTAATTTGACTGCGGGGTACTCCTTCTACCTAATCAATACACAGGGCTCATGATGGTATTACCGGTAAAAAGGAGATGCTTACTCCTCCTAGGCACATGATCCCACCTCTGTAATTTCTGAGGTTCCTTGTTTTAAACCCTGATTTGTATGCTCTTTTATTGATCACTATTTTTTCATAAACTATCATCAATACCCTACGACATTGACATAAGCTGTTAACGAAGCATTCATTTTGTGTATTTAAGACACCGAAACTATGGAAATTAGTGTGAATAGTGGTAAGCCTTATGTCCCAGACATAATAGTAAAATAAATATTTACAACGGTAGAACACAGATGATTCGGACAAGAAAGAAATTCTTTACTCTCTACGTCGTCGCCCTGTTACCTCCAGAAGAGAAGATATTTTCAAAAAGAGGTTTGACAAGAATTCTTCCTATTTTTTTCACAAAATGTAGATGGAATTGTTGCAAAAATAGAATCACAGTCTACTGAAAGTAATGAAGATTCTGTCTTAAAACTGTAAAGATTTGTTTAAAAGGGGGTGTATAAAGCAGTGGTTGGCTGATTGATTGATTAATTGATTGTTATTGTCTAATGCTGAGGCGGCAATACTTCAGCCATATTTAGGCAGTAAAAATTAATGTCCCTTGGCCGGTTTTGAATGATTTTGGGTCTCTGTGGCGGCCCACAGTGAGTACTCTTTTGTGAAATCCAGACTATGTTTTCAGTGAATTTCTTATTTTTTTCCTTGAACGTCAAGGAACTGAAAAGAGAATCTATGTCAGACGTAGAAAAATTTAAAAATAGTAAATCAAGGCTATGAAATTATGAATTTATGCGACTTTCTTCAAATTAAGGTATAAATTAGAGCAATATGAGTGGAATGCAAATAGAATCCATGTGATAATGATTTATTAATTTTCAATGAGAAACTCTACCTTTAAAGTAAGGGCGTACTGTGGCAAACCGGAAGCCGGATTTAGTCTTTTCTCGGTTTTAAAATTACGGTTCATATAGCTTTAAAAAAAATGTAAACAACGTCTGCAGAAATGTTGGAAGGGATGTATAAAGATAAATGAGGGTATTTTTGTGCAAGAAATTAAAATCATACAGGATGTACATTGTAGCAGAAGATTTAATCGATTAAGACATTTGATATTTGATAGGGGGTATATTGTACAACTTAATATTTCTGATACCTCCTCGGAGAAAACATGGCAAAAAAATTTTTAAAAAAAAAATGCCCTAATGTCATTAAATTATATTTTTCGTTTATTGCACTCGATTGTGCACAATCGGTATGCTAGCTGTGCAGGTGGGATTTTCCTATTTTCGTTTTTAACTGCGGTACTTAGTTATAAAAATATACAATATAGGCTACTAATAAATATTTGGATTCTTAAACATAATTTCTGCATGACAGTCATTGTATCTCTTGCTTATCATCTTTTGTTAGTAATAATAAACATTCAAGAAGGTCGGTTCAATACCTCTGTTTATATTATGACTATTAAAGTCTGAGTGAAATTTTGACTGTGTTTAAGAAAGAATATGTTATTAAGGTGTTCCATCTTCAAGGAAGACCTTGTAGTGATTCTACTGTTTCTTCTTCCTCTTATTATTTTCCCGCCCATCTAATTTTGTGCACGCTATTTCTCAAAGACTACTGGATGGATTTTAATGAAATTTGCTGAAACAATGTTGTAATCTGAAGTTATTTTATCCGAAAGAATTTTTAGAATTTCACTTCCGGTGCCAAGTTACGGACCATTTTCTGAATTTAAAATGACATTTTGTCCGCGGATAATCTCAAGAACGGTAAAAGATATCAATGTGACACTTTCAGGGTTTATAGATCGTGATAAATTCTAGCCAGGATGTGACCTTTCGTCCGTCGTCCATACTTCCGGTTGTTAGCGGATGCATATTTAAAAATTGATTTTTAATATTTTTTAGTTTTTCAATATTTTTCTTTGATATCAGTAAGGTTTATAAAGGCACTTCTGATAAATCCAAACTCCAGATATTCACATTTTAAAATTTGAAGCGGGGACCAAAATGGCGGCTGTCTCCGTAAAAGCCAACGAGCAGGTCGGAGTTTACGGAGACAGCCGAGCGTCTGCTTGAATGAAACTACCATAAGGATCAATGAAATGTTAAGGCATTGTTGGATAAGCAATCAATATTTAAGATTTATACATTCTTAAGCTCCAAAATCAGGCTATAAAGACACACTATTTAAAATTATATTGAAGCTATCACATACACTCACATTCCAAAGAAAAGGTGCAAAGATTTACTCATGACGTTTGGTGCGAAATAATTTATCGTGACACACCTTTTATAGTAGACAAATGGACTATTGATGCAGAAGTGTATTTAAGATTTATACATTCTTAAGCTCCAAAATCAGGCTATAAAGACACACTATTTAAAATTATATTGAAGCTATCAAATACACTCACATTCCAAAGAAAAGGTGCAAAGATTTACTCATGACGTTTGGTGCAAAATATGTATCGTGACACACCTTTTATAGTAGACAAATGGACTATTGATGCAGAAGTGTAGAAGTACAGAAAAAAGATTCCACGGACATGTCTTTATTTAGAATTGCATAGAATAAAAAGATGAATGCATAAAGAATAAAGAAAGTAAACACAATAGTTTTTAATAGTTTTCATCAGTAACAGATTATTTCTTGTCTGCTAACAGTTATTGTTAAAACTCAAGTAATAAATTCCAATGTAAATCTACTAGTACTTGCACATAATTTAGCTGGCTAGCTTTCATCCTATAATTCCGCACCATGGAAAAAATTAACCTGCCTGACACTCGTTACTTCAGGCAATGAGTGCAAGATAAGCATCGATGATGGCTGGTACATTGCGCTACCCCTATCTCAATAAAAAATAAATTAAATGATCCATGTGTTTTTTGTGCTTTTGAAGTACATAAAGTCTTTCTTGCGTGGCGCAGTGGTTAGAGCGTCTGCTCTAGAGTCGCGGAGTAAGGAGTTGATCCTTACGTCGCGGGTTCGAATCCCACTGTGGGGCGTGGAGACCGGCCCTTCGGATGAGACCGTATAAACTGCGGTCCCGTGTCGCAGTAGGTGCTGGCACAAAAAAGATCCCTCACTGCTCAATGGCCGTTAGTGCCGAGTATAGGAAAAAATTCGCAGCTCTCCACCGTCAAGTGGTGGCGTCTCCATATGAGTGAAAAATTCTCGAGAGGGACGTTAAATAACATTCAAACAAACAAACAAACAAACAATAAAGTCTTTCTTAATGTAAATCAGGGCAAACATTACACTGTTGACACATAAATTCTACTAGTAGGGACCTACCTTAAATAAAACAAACCTGAATAAACAAACAAAATTGACATGGCATTTGTATTAAAATCCACTATGTGATTCTTTGAAATAATTAGTTATTCATTCTTTTAATTTATTCGTTTTGAGAAAGCTAGACTACATCTTCATGTTTGTAGCTTTAAAATGAGAAATAAAGACATTTGCATAGTTACCAAAACTTCATACGGATTTTGTTCGTCAGCTTGATATGCAGGGTTTTCGTAATTCTGGAAGAAAATGATAATATAACGATCATATATATACGAAAGATTTTCAGTCTTGTAAAAATCTTAAAAGCATGTCTTGGCGTGAAATTTTTGGATTACTTGTCTACTCTTGAATTAGCCCTTCGAAAAATGAAATTGGTTAAGCACTCTTAGTTTCAAGTATGTATAAAAACGACATATTTCAAAAACACAGTTTTAGTGGCTACGTGTGGCTTACGCTTATCTCTAGTACTTATAGTTAGAGAGATAATTTGAAAAAAAAATGAAACGATTATATTAACAATTAATCAGCACTGAATAGTAGATGTAGATCATGATGACTAATTTACCTGATCCAATTTGTTTCCAGCCATTTTGCTCTTCTCGTTTTTTTCAGTGAACTTGTTTGTTGACCTAAAAATAATGATTACATATTTCAAAAAGTACTAGGCTTTCTCATATTTTGTTATTCAGCGTCATATTATGATAAAATTTGGTAGACATTAAGTAACTATATATCTAAAATAATTTGAGTTATATTGAATATATCATAATAAATATAAAAATTATTATTTGAAAATGTAAAACTGCGAAAATGGGGTAACGGAGCAGACCAGAATTTTAAAATTTACTTAATACCATAAACTTAATGATGTATATTTTCATATCTCTTTAAAATGGCGCTACAACAAAATAAAATTAAAACACTAAAACCGAGTATCAACATCATATCTCATGGCGAATTGTAACTTAATATGTTGCTACATTGAGCAGAAATCAATTGGAGAAGACAGAAAGTCCTCATTGAAAAAGGGAAAGAAATTGCTTTGCAAGACTCACGGAGCAGCGAGTAAGTTGCACCAGGGGAGCTAAAAAAGGGGGTGGGGACTCTGAAAATGCTGGAGGAAGCAGAAATATATAACAGAAGTAAGAAGTGCATTGTGTATAAATGGAAAATGGAACTTTTGTTTTGAAGAGATCCTGTATCGGACAATAGACGGCCTGATGGAAACAAATTATTAGTAAGAATCTGGTTGAAAAAAGAGTACAAATTTGTCGAGATGAAACCTCATGGAAAGCAATAATGATCAGAAAAAAAACCCCAAAACAAATATTAACGCGACATGTCTTCAGAATAAGGTGGTAAAACTATTTCTTTAAATGTTTACGTCACACGTAAATAATAGCTGTAGTATGAAATGTAATTTTAAATATCTTTCTATAACCAGAAAAATTAAGTAACTTATTTTAAAGTGACCCATTTGAAACAAACACTAGTTGCCGTGTTTCATTCAAATTCTTAATTGTGAATGTTAAAAAAGTAAAACTGTAGTTTACAGATTGTTCTCGAGCTTTTGAAATCCAGGTTTCCTTATGAAAATTTAATACCTTGCGCCATAAATGAATCAGCAAATTTCGAATAACTTCTTCAAAACAATGAATTGATAAAACGGTGTGAGAGGACTGCGAATTCCTTGTTACATTTTCTATGGGGCATGACAGAGTTTATTATATAGAGATACACACTGTAACAAGTCATGAAGAATTGTGTTTGTTGGTGGTAGTTTTTAATCCGTCTTGTAAAATATGGAGATCATTTTGCCTTTGGAATTGTAATTAAAGTTTTTGTGTTCTTTAGCTTACATAGAGAGAATTATACTTTGTTTTGATTTATAAACTGGTGATTGAAATGCTAAAAGTTTCAACTTAATTGTAGTACAGATACGGGGTATCGAATGTGAGCACTGGTATATTGTAGCATTTCTGCGTAATATTTTTATTTTACTCATGTTTCTTTTCCTTGTTGAAGGATGAATCAAAAAAAAAAAAAAAATTAAGTTAACAAATAAAAAAAAATTATTAGAAAAATTCTGATACTCAACATTGTTATAGAAGGAAAACATGCAAAAATTAAGATTACATATTCCAATTTAATTAAAAAAATTAAGATTACATATTCCAATTTAATTAAAAAAATTAACGTCATTTCAAATTTTAAGAAAATGTAGGAATTCCATACCTTTGAGGGAACAAAGATCCTTTGTTCTATAAAGGCAGGTGGAGGGGTACCAGGAAGAATTGAAACATGTTCTATATAAAAATTACAAAACACGGACGATGCTGGTCTTAAATATTATAATATTTGTAGGATGATATTTCGGAACAAGGAAGGACATTACACCTTTTTGTTGAAATCATCTGATCCGTGAAGTTTGTGTCAGCTCGAAAAACCGAAACTTTCATTTAAAGAATGTCACCTAGTTGGCTTTAAATGTACAAATATCTATTTTTTATCCCTTTCTATATGAAGTGTTAAGATTGAGGGGCGTATCCAAGGTTTCATTAACTGTTTTAGTTTGGAAGATATTTTACTATGTATATTTCATCGATATGTATATGTCATAGCTTCTTATGTAGGTATTCTTGTTATTTTTGTCGTTTCCCGGTTAGTTGCTTGTAGATTTACCTCCGGTGCCATATTATCTTCTTCTCTAGAATTAGTCTCAATAATAATAGTCTTTCATGCGACGTGGGAAAACTGTTTTCCCCGGAATTCCATATCACATTAATTCCAAAAAACAAAGAGGGGGTTGTGAAGAGTTGGCAGATGTTTAACTAATATCAATTATTTTTAATTGCATTTTTCTGCATAGTTTTAAAGGTTTTCGTACGTAAATGGCCAACATCCCTATGTCTACATACTTTTTTATCACGATTTCTTACAATGTAATAAATGATCGCATAGCAAGATGAGAAACTTTTCTATAGTTCTAATGTTTCCAATTAAGTATCTCAAGAAACTGGATTTAGGTTAACATTAGCGTTAGGAAATCGCAACAGATCTAAATTTTAAAAGAGGAATAACTGGTGGTCAGGTCAACTTCGAGGAAACCAACAAAGAACAAAAAAGCAACGTGTTAAGCAATTTATCACGAGTTTATCTATTTTTAGATTAAGATTTACAAGAATTTGTCTTTCTTTTAGTTTAATAGCCAATGTAAATGAAGAAAAAAGTATTTTCTCATGATTTTATTATTCACGCAGTATTTGGAAACATCTTACATTATTCCCCATTAGTTTTAAGGGACCTCCCTTTTAACTCAATTTTGTAAAGATCCGTAACTTTTTTTTCCAATATTTTCATATTTTTCTCTCTCTAAAGCCATCTGAACAATTGAAAAAAAAAAAACGTTTATTTTACAGTTGCCCTAATTTTTTTGCGGTGTTATATAACACAGAAAATTAGAGATTTGGGGAATATCTTTTTTCGAATAATCATTTTACATTTTATTTAAGTTTCAAAAACCTTACGTTAAGTAAACTAATGCAATATTGAGTAGTTTGTTGGGTTATGAAACTTTTCACAGTACAATTCCTTCGAATTTGACGAAAGAAATGTTGAAACATCTTGTTTGTATATTATCCACTCATTTCTAATTACTACAAATTCTTGTTAACAGAGCATTTGCAGCATAACCGTGGCCATCATGGCTACGATGTCCGTAGACAAACATTCCGAACGGCGAATCGTCTTTCGTTTCCACTTGAATCACGCCACTTGGGACATTTATTGTCAAAACGCTATAAAAAGTTGTTCTTACAAAAACAGTGGATTGGAAAACTTTGAAGTACTCGTATACATCCGTCCTATTAATTTGGAGGTTGCTTAGAGACTCATTCCTGACAATGAAAGTGGCCAAACTCAGACTGTATCCTTCCGGCACAACAACGATATATTGATTGAGGTACTGATTGATTCCAGATACTACTGTCATGTACGGATCACCATGGACTCTAGAATCCGGTGAACCAGTGGCAAAAACATTAACTAATACAGGCTCAGTGGATTCTATGTATCCTATTTCATTTTCTCGAATGATGAAGTCCGTTATTCGATTTTTCAACAGAGTGGTAGTTGTGTTGATCCCTTCGACGGAGTAGGTAACTTTCGTTTGAATGGCTGATACAATTCGTACAACTGATTGGTATCTGTTAACGTTTGGTGGAACTATAAAAATCCTATCAAATTCGTCTATTGGCGGAACCATTTCCATAAGCATGCTACATGTTCCATGATACCCAATTCTATTACATTTGTTTCCTGCAAAGACCGCAATTGGATGAGAAGAATTTATAGTTGTTCCTGACAAATCTGCTGGGTGTCCAACTTGAAACGTTTGAAACTTGTTCAATATTAACGAAAATTGATCACCAGTATTATATTTCCTATCAAAAATTGAAATCGTGGAATTATGGTCCATTGCAAAAACTACTGTGATGTGAGTGTCATCTGTAGTTGACGCAATCGTGAAGTGACTTCCGCTATCTAGAAATGTCCTTGCAGGTTCGGCAGTTGATAAAATGTAGTGTGTGGAAAGTCTATCTATTGGGAAAACTATAGTACTGTCTGAAGTGGCATCAGCATCGTCCAGCATTAATACTGAGGACAACTTCGAGGTTCTGATAAAAATAGCCTTTGACTCGATAGAAAAATACGACGGCACCATAGAGTAATGAACACTTATCTTTTTCAAGGTGACATTTTCAGTTCTCTGTGTGATAACGGATAATAAATTGGAACTTCGACTATCTGAGAGTTCAAAAGTCATATTAAAATCGTGTTCAGATGCCACAAGAATTGTTCTGTTAGTTTCATTTGCTGAGACATGATTTCGTATGAAGGTTATCATAAAAGTGTTCCCTCTGCTTCCTGTGATTAAAATTGTTGATTGATTAGAATTAATTATTTTTTGAAGATTTCATATCAAATTTTTAATTGCGATATTTACCAACCAAAATTATCTGTGGTCTTATTTGGTGAAGCGGATTTTTGGTTCACACAAATGTTTTCTTTGGTAATTGATTGCGACGTTATCTTTTCATTTGGACCCGAGTAACCTATAAGTTATTGGAAATATTAATGTCAGTAGAAAATTTGAACATCAATATAATAATAATTTTTAAACATTTCTACTTAATTCGAGAAATATAAAGCATTGCTTCTGTTTGTGTAGGCAATATTTTGGAAACTCTATCCCCGTTTAATTTGTCTCAAAGGTATTCACACCTGTTCTGGTACATGTTGCATTCAATTAGATTCAGTATCGTGTTTATTTACGGGAAAACGGAAGTCACTTTAGAACAAGGTAATGTTAAGGCAGCACAAAGACAACAAGACCTTGCAACATCTGTCTTTTTTGTAACTCATCTTTTTTTAATTATCAGCCTGTATGAAAGTGTGCGCAATTCAATTTTGCTTAAACATTTGCCTTCACAAACACGGAAATTTGTATTACAAGGAAAAGAATATTTACCGCCAGTTTTATTTTTTTCATAAACAAATAATACAGTCATCGTTGCAAATCCACTAAATAAAGCGATGAAAATGATGATCATTACAAACGATTTTATGGAACTCTTAGATGTATTTTGCTGTTTTACTGCACCATCTTCTTCTGCAACATTTGATGTAGAATTGAAATTCCTAGGCTTTATGAAAAATAATTTTAAAAATATACAATCGATGGAAATCCTGGTGAATAAAATGTATAAATGTATTTCTATTGATATCATATGCAATGTTGAAAAATGCTACAAAAGCTTTTTATTTTATCAAACCAAGGAATATTAAGAGACTTAATGCCCACAATGCTCACCTTTATCAAAACTTTGAAGACAATGACTAAAACAATTAACAGTAATGAAAGTCTTAGTAAGGTCTAGAAATTATAGCATTATTGTTTTTGTAGAAGTTTTTTTTATTTTTGGGTAATGCATTTGTTACCTAGGTAACTATTGAAGGTCATCCAAATTATTGATGCAACTAGAGCATTAAATCTCGTTGCTGGAGCAACGAATAGGTCTTCCGTTGGAGCTGCAGACAGGAAATAGTGACTTTGAGACAAGGTCATGACACATTCTAAGGTCATAGGCAATCTTTGTATGAGGTATCAACTTCCAATGCTTCACGGGTAACAGTAGACTGAGAGACTGTTAACGAATTTTATAGTTTCTCTGTCAGTGACCTTGAATTTGTCAAAATGACCATGCGTCAAGGCCAGGACACACTTTAGTTAAGGGCAATTCCCTCCTGTGGGTTTCCTGTCGGACAAGTTCACCCATGTCCTTTCTGACCATACATTAGTCAAAATATCTTATCCCGCATAGTTGTAATTAATTAGTTTTAACTCATTTATTGAAATGGATCTATGACATTTCATCGAAAGACAGCTCATTGAAAAAATTCATCGATGCAACGACTCATAGAAAGAACAAGTCGTGGAATGGACAGGTTATGGATACGGCAAACTATCGACACTCAACCAAACTGATCGAAAAAAAACACTATTTTTTTTTAATCTTATTCAAACAAAGAGCATTTTATGAAATTTTAGTTAGGTGATATGAGCAAGTCCTTCAAGGTATTTTACATAGTTTCCCTCTTAGACTCGTTCACCGGAAGAACATAAATCTTGTTATTTTTAAAAATTTCCTTTCTGCGAAGGTGATTAAGTAACAGATTGAAATATTCATTGTAAATGTTTAATTTCCAATTCGGATGTTGAAGAATGTCAGCGTCTTAAAGTTTTTCCTCTGGCCTTCACTTTTTTAGTCCTCATTGTAAAACAGAGTACAAGGTGCATGACGATACGCTGTCACATTCTATAAACCAAAATTTTTTTTGCCCGACCCCACGAACATCAGACAGGTTTTCCATGATGCGAAACTAAGGGGTCACAGCTAGGCAGCTAAATTTTTGGAAACCTGATATACATCGGAATTTGTTACCTGCGTTTTAACAACAGTTAGCAGAAGAAACTGTCATATTACTGATGCAAAATATTGATCCGTTTATACAAACTTCCTTTACTTTTGTTTATTCAATGCGATTCCTTATACAGTGTATCCGTTTAGTCTTTTTTTTCTGCGTTTCTATCCTACTGGATTAGTCCATTTGTCTTCTAGGAAGGGATGACACAAATATTTCGCGCCAAATGTCACGAGTAAATCTTCTTGCCTTATTCTTGGATAATCATGAACGTGATTACACAGTGGAATTAAATAAAATTAATTTTGCTTTCGAGCTCTTGAAAAACAAGTAACATATATATCTTTGATGTTGGGAACGAAGATAGAATATAGAAATCATATAACATAATTGATTTGATAAAGATTTGAAATAATTTTAATAAAATAAAACAGACTAAAACTTCTTAAAAGGAAGAAATGGCCAGATATTGATGATAATTGTGATATTATCTCGCTCAGACAACCTTGGTATTTTCAGTCAAAAGCCCCCCCCCCCCCCTTCTGAAAACACAGTAAATAAATACACTTAGGTAGGAAATTGCCTTCTCCAGCCCTCAATCCCGGAAGGAAATAGGTTTTAGGTTTTTTAGGGATGGAGGAAGTTCATATTTTGTTTTTGTTTTGTTTTGTTTTTTTGTTTTGTATTTTTTTTTTTGTTTTTTGTTGTTTTTTGTTGTTGTTTTTTTTCTTTCTTTTTTTTTTTTGGTTTAAATATTTCCTGAGTCTGATATCTGTTAGAGTTGATGTGAAACCCCCACCTCCCAGAAAACAAATCTCTGGTTCCCGGCCTGTCGACAATAATGCAGTAGTGATGCGCGTGTAAAAAAAAAAAAAATCTGCAAATCTATCATAACAATTGACAATTTCTTGTAGTTATATTTTTAGCTGTCTTTCGGCATTTCTGATATTTTATGTAGTTGAAATTAATGCATGCCACCATTAACAATAATTCATTGATTTCATGTGATATTAACAATTTACATATATATAACTTTATAATCTTATATCAAAACTGTTTTCCACATGCATGTACTTATAGACTGTACTTTTCACTTGTTGTTTGAGCTACAAACAATAAATATATTTACATAAATTCTGTTTCCTTTCCATTATTCTGATGAGAGAAAAAAATTGATGTTTTATACAATGTCTTCAAAATGTACGGTAATAAAATATTTCTAACCCCCCCCCCCCCCCAACTCCCCAAATGGACGGAATCGTTTACTATGCTTATACGTTCTATAGATATTGATTGCTCTATAGTCAGGCAAGCTTTTTGAAAAGCTATTACGTGTGTGTCCTTTTAAAATAAATGTTTATGAAGTTATGTATACATACAAATTCAATATACAACGAATTATAATCGTTCATTTGTCCAGTTCAGATTTGCCATTCTTCCAGGTATCAATAAAACTTACGTTATCATGATCATGTCTAAAACTGTGAATGTTAAGACAAAGTTCAAACAAGCGAATATTTTCTACGAGATTACTTGCCAAATATTAATGTGTAATTTATCTGTATGCATTAGCAGTTAGTGAATTTCAGAGTGTGATAAGTTTTTATTTAAAGTTAATTCTAATTAAGTAATAAGAGTCACTTTATGCAATTTAGAAATCATAGCAATACAACGAGATGAGCGACGAATTGTATTCCGCAGATTGGAGAAACTTTTATTCTCTCCTCCCATAAATCGAGTTATCGTTCTTAGCACGAGTTATCTGTTCTCGTAAAACCTCTGGTTTAAGAGCGAATGTCGCGGATGACTAAATCAGTCTAATATGTTAAAATTTTTAAGGAATTTAAGTTAAAACTAGTGAGTCTGAAGTTCATCCCTGTTAAAATGTATAATCTGATACAATGTATTAAATTTTAAGATTTGACCGAAACGCAATTTTACAGTCTTAATGTGTACATGTATAACATACTGGCAAAGTTAAAGAAAAAAATAGACGATATTGAAAACAAAATGCGAGACCACAGTCTTGGAATGCCTCAGCAAATTATGTCGAATTGCTACGACATAAAATTTCCACAATATTCTTCACCTTACAAAATTAGTTTTCGCTTAATATGAAACTCATAACGAAAAAGGAAGAAAATACCAATTTTAAAATCAAGCATCCCTGCAATGGGCTTCTACAAGTTTTATTGGAATGTCTTTTATTGTATATATTAAAGATGCATTATATAGAGATATGTAGTACCCCCCTTTTTCTGTTAATTTAGTAAAAAATTATGCATTGAAAGGCCTCCAACACACTTTTTGTTGCAGTCTAGTGATCCTCCAGTCTTTATATTTCCGAATAGTTTTCTCACCAACAAAGTCGGAACTTAACCCCCCCCCCCCCCCCACAACACACGCACACACATGAAATCACGAGATAGGATTTTGGAATTTGAACGATTTTTCTTATTGTTTGTCAATTTTTTTTCAGGAGGTATGTTGTCAATAACCCCCCCCCCTTTAAAAACGATGCTATGTGCTGCATAATATAAATTGTATATATTTAACTATATTTTAAAGAAAAAGTCCCATATTTTCTGAAAATGTTACTGCAATACTTAATTGTTTATAGTTATTGTAGGTTATCGCAAACGTACAGTATCAACTAATTAACTAAGATAGGACGTTAATTATAACGGTCAGTTCTGTTTATTTACTTTAAAACATGGTACAGTTACGTATATACAAGTACATACATGTATATATACAGTTGACCAAGCGGGGGGGGGGGGGGGGGGGAGGGGTAAAAAACAGACGACTAATTCTTTTGAGAACATGACTTCACAAAGCTTCATAGTATTTGGTTTAGAACAAATTTTCTGGACCCTAGAATTTTTTTTTCCAACAAATTACATAAAACATTATTCTAAAGTATAGTAATACCATTTCTTGTTTTAGTTTTTAAAAAATGATCATATTTAATTATGCCGATTACTTATTACGTTCAACTTTTTTTTTCTTCTATGTTGAAGGAATTATCCTGTTCACTCAAATTTGACTACGAAATGAAAATGACTAATAAAATTCCGAAGATAATGGTTCCTTATACTTTATTTTCATATTGTACATTACCGTGACGACAATCAGGAATACTGTTTAAATATTAACCTATTATATTAATGAGAAGCCATATCTTTATCGTTTCTATCCAGTATGCAAGTCCGTAGTGCCCCCCCCCCTCCCCCTTTAAGAATAACTGGTCATTTGCTGCTTATGAAAATTATCATTTGAAGGCAGGTTCGATTTTCTTTTACAGATACACTGTAAAAATCGTGTTTAGATGTTGAACACTTTTCTTAACACATTTGTGAAACACAGTTTTTCACATGTTCTAAATCTAAACATGTTTCCCACTTCAACATGTTATTTAAAGTGCTTAGAGTCTAAACGTGTTAGAAGTCCATGTGTTTAGGAATTAAACACCTAAATCCTTTCTTCATGTTCTAGTTTTAAACATGTTTAGATTCTAAACACAAAAGAGGTATCCTTGCTCTGCATGAGAATATATACTGTTGCATTCATTATTTGTCCAAAAATCCTGAAAATTCATGTAAATGTCATCCTTGTTCATTACTGTATATACATGTCATCCCAGAAGCATTACAGTTACAAAAAAAATCAATAAGAATATACTTCATTAATCTAATTTATTAATCAAACTAATCTATTGATA